ACCCTTATACATTTCTTCTATTTCATAGGAAATGAAAGTGGAAATACATAAACAAGGTTCTGTAATTTTATTTCAAAAAGAAAATTGTTGTACACTGTACAAACCCATAACTACCAATGGAATAAATACAGGAGAAAAAAATAAAAAATAAGTACAAATAGCAGAATGTTAACCAGTTAAATGTCCAGAACATGATGCATTGGTGAGAAATCTACAGATGCCAGTGGGATCACGCATTCATATTTTACTATATGTACAGAGAGTGAAAATGACTGATACAGTTATGCACTGAGATAAAAGTAAAAATACTTTTAAAAAAGTTACCTCAAATGATGCATTAATACAAGCAAGCTGATTCATGGGCTTGTAAAGTGAATGGCTATAAGAATCCACATCCCTATGTCATATTACATACAATCTTGCAGCTGAAAAGCATTTTACCAGCCATTAAATGAGACTTTTATAATACAAAGTTAAAAACTGCATTTTTGTTGTTTTAATTCCTTATGCAGGCTGGCCTGCCTAGATGTAAAAGAAACCCATACACGAGGCTGAATGTTGTATAATACAACAATCGCTGCATGGAGAATAAAAACTGCAGCAGATTGCAACCACACACCAGTCTAAGCGCAGATTGAAAATGTGTCATCTGTATGCAAATATAATCACAATGTAACAGTCCACAGTGTATGGGACACGTTCTTGAATAAATATCTTAAAATAAACCTGTACTTTGTCCATACTGAGCAAAGTAACAGGTTAGCTTTTTAGAAGGCAGAGTCTGCATCATTTACTTACATTCCCTATGCTTTACCAGAGGCCAGATAAATGTTCTGGTTTTCCTGATATGGGGGAATATGTGACTCTGCCTGTTCAGAGTGCAAAGCTTGGTGTGAGCAAACAATCATCTTAACTACTGTTAAATGTGGAGCAGAGAGGAACCTGTATAAGATTCAAATTTTGCACAGGACTTCAGTCAGCAAACTAGGGTGGTGGAGGAGAAGAAGATAATTCTGCTGACATTGCCCAGTATGGGGAAAGTACACGTTACCTTCAAGAATCCAGCTGTTCACAAAACAGTCAAATCATTGGGCATCTTCCAGTTTATTCCCTTTCTCACGCTGACAATTACGCCTCTCGGTAAAGATTACATAATCTGGTTGCCTGAAAACTTGGTAGGCTAAATTTGCCAAGGTGCAAGAACAGACATGCTTGCAAAGTCACTTAAATTCTAATAATAAAATCCAGTGATGACCAAATTTGAGAATTATGGGGAGAGTAAAATGCACTCATTCCCATAGAGCTAGAGCTGTCGTGTGACACTGAAGCCGTCACGGGATGGCTCTACAGCTCGAGAACCGAGCAATCACATACCGCTGATTGCTCAGTTCCTGATCTTCTGCCTGCAAAGATTGGCGACCGTCATTAACTGCTCCCCCCCTCTCCCTTCCTCCTGCAGCACGGCTCTGCTCTGTCAGCATATAGTGGCCAATAGCCCGCTATTTGCCGAGTTTTTGGGTCACAGCAGTACACTTGGTAAATGTCCTCCAGTGACCCAAAAGAGAAAGCCAAAAAAGGTTTGGCCATAGTTTTCTTTTAAACATCTAAACGAGCACTTGCACATGCAGGTTATCTACCGAGAATTCTCTTGTAAGACCGGGTCTGCTAATAATCAGCAGCATATGGGTTACTGTTGAATGTTCTGCCTCGTAGTTCTCAATTTAGATATCATCTCAACATAACAGAAGATGCGATTGTTCGAGGCTCACATTGGCATGGGTGTGCTGCTGTCAAATAACAGTTTCAATTGCTCCCTACATGATCTGGGCAATTAGGACAAACCTGGATAGCTGCATATATAACATCTGGTCATCCCCATGGCTCGCCAAATTGTAGACTTGGTTTGCCCACCTCAGAGAAGGAGAACAAACCTGCAAGTGTATTTGCAGCTTTAAAGCCAACGTAGTGGTTTTAAGAAAATTGCCTCCAGGAGGCTTCAGCTTCTTATTTCATCTGCAAGTTCATCATGCTAAATCAGGACGTGTGTTGGAACAATGGAAACTGTGACATGAAGACAACATATGAATGTAAGGCTCAAGCCACATGAACGGATTTTTACATCCCACACTTATCTTAAAAGAGTGGGCAGGACAGCCCACAGATGATCCAGTTACCTGAACATTAGGCCTATAAAGCACCAAGCCTACAGATTATTGGTCCTCGTGTGGGCATTTAAAAGAAATATGCGTTTTAATTTCACAATAAAGAATTCTATTCAACTCTCACTGCCAGAGTGGATACGTGTGATAGCTATATATGCGGTACCATTATTTTCATACAAAATAAGGGCTTATAGTCATTCCGTGAAGCACACCTCAGATTTTCAACAGGTTATACTGCTTTCAAGTAAAAACATCTAAACCGAACCAGACATTTTGCAGTTAAAGCAAATAAATCAGCAACTATCCCATGCGATGATTACTTGTACATATTTCCAGTCTTTCCTTGTTAGTACATCTATTCAAATGGAACACATTGATGGCTTTCTAGCAGTCATTGTTTGACATGGACAATGTATAACAGTATAGATACATTCATATCTCAGATAGAATCTTACCCCCATATATGTTGCAATCATGATGATGATGAAACAGCTCTTTTTTTAATATATACACAGAAAATGTACATTTACTGTGAGGTCTTGAGGTATATTCCTACTGAGGAAAATTGGTCAACGCCATCCTGAAATTCTCCTTCATACAGGTTCAAATTTAGATAAACAGTCCATGTTTAAGCAAGGCTAAAACTGATAATGTGCAAGACATCAAAAGTAGTTCAGCTTCTACAAACCAGACAACAACGTGTGTGTAACAATGTTAGGTGCTTATTTCTTCTAAGGGTGTAAGAAAACTGCAGAATGACAGCAAAGTAAAATGTATATGCACAAACATATCACTGCAAAATAACTCCCTTTACGAAAGCCAATTTGGAATTCTCTATGGAGATGCCATGTGCCAGCTGTGCTTAAAGAACTCTGGGCAAACATTTTGTTAACCCTAGCAGTCGGGCTACCCCAACACTGCTCTATTTTGTCTAGGTAAAAAAAAAAAAAGTTATACTCACTCGATCCTCGGAGCTGGCTCTTAGACTGGTCCCTTCTGCTGCAGTGGTCCAACTTCTCTAAGCCATCACATTCTATACACAGTGTATAGGATGTGAGGACACCAAGAGTTATACCATTGCTGCAGTGGAGGAGGAGACAGGCAGGAGGGGGTGCTGTGACATCTAGCTGGCTCCACCAATCGGGTGAGTATAACAATTTTTTTTTTACATAGACAAAAACGAGCAGCTAATCCTTGCAGTGCAGGGGTAGCCCCACTACAAGGATGAATAACATTTGTGCCTGGAGCTCTTCTTTAAGGAATGATGACAAATTGAATTCTGCAGGAAATGCATGAAAAAGGGTACCAACAGGTCCACTGACCCAACCCCTGCCAAAACAATCTAAAAACTTTAGTTCTGAATAAAGTAGAGGGGGGCGGGGGTGACAGCATTGTCCTGTTTTGCAGTTCACTGGGGCAGCATTTTGTTGGGCTGAAATGTCAATTATATCAACAATTGTGTAAAAAGCAAGACTTTTGTCCAATTGAAAGTTCAGCGTCACTACTTTTAAACTGTAAAAAGTCCTCCACAATTAACATAGTACTAGTTAACCATTAGTGCTTTTAAGCCAAATACAAAATAGTGCAGCTCGATATGGAATGGAATTACACTAAGGCTGTGTTCCCATCATCGTGCTTCAAAATGTATCGCACATTAAAAACAGATATACACAAGCAGATGGGGCCAGCCTATCACACCCGGACTTATTCTTGGGTGTACAGTTAATCACAGATTTGGAACTATGCTGGTAACAAAAATTACTGTGTAAGTTGGCAGGTGCAGGTATGGTTTTGTCCCCATTCAATATCCAAGAGGATAACCATCAGATGGGAAAACTAGGTGTACCTAAATGTATGGGCCAGCTGGCATACCAGGGTCTAAAATGATATTATTGGGACAATAACTGTGTGGCTAGCTTAAAAATGAGATGCTAAAAATACCAATTAAAACAAAAACATGAGCACACAGCCTAAAATACACAAAGCATCAACATGTAATGCTTTATACTGGCCTTAAGCTGGGCTGTCTTTGTAGGAGCCACCCATGTTATCAAACTAGAATGACAAGTTACAAATAATTAATCCATTTATATAGATTTTTTTTTTAATCAAATAAGAAAAATATATATATAGCAGTTGGCAGAGAAAAATAAAATACTGCTTTGACTAAACCCTTGATCTTAAAAACAGTTTTTTTTTTTTAGAGTAATCTACAAATATGGATGAACCACTGATTCTGTAGCAAAACAAAATGAATGATTTGGCTGCCTGGAACAGAAGGAAGAAGTTACATGGAAGTAGATTTAGGATGTGTTAGCGGTTAAACTAAACTAGTAGTTGCAGCCAGACTGTGGAATGCATGGATGCTGATAAATGGTGCGTGATAAAGGCATTCAAATACTCTTCGATAAAGTAATCAGCTCACTAGTGAAAATGGCTTATGATTTTTTAAATTGCTACAAATATTTAACATATTCATCCACCATATGTGGAACTTTATATTAAAATTAAAATTCCTAGAACCAAAAAGGCACAGTAACAAAACCAGAATTATGGAAATTCACATGGAGGCTTAAAACTGAACAGGTACCATCTTTAAATATCTTACATGTTAAATAGCAAAATGGAAAACATATATACAGCAGCAACACAAATGTAAAAATGACTACAGAAAACAGTGCGTAGACCCTCCTGAGTGTTAACAACAACCACTTCAAAAGACTGTCATTGGTATTTTGAGTTGTCACAGAAAGTTTCCCATTTCCTCAAATCCTGGCCTCCGGACCAGGCATTGTTGGATTTTTGCTTTGTAGGTTGAGAAGATAAAAAGAGTTCTATTCTCATTAAAAGAGACGAAGATTTCAGTAAGGCTGTTCTATAGTTGCAGTAACCAATGTACCTTACAGTAAACCGACCCCAAATAATAAAAGAAAGAAGAAGTTTAGCTGGACAGTCTAGACTGCTTCGGTGTTCTGTGCCGAACTGTCAGATTTTGCCTTTTTGCTTGGAGGGGCACCATCATCAGAATCCTAAATCAGAAGGGACAAGTTAAAATAGTTATTACAATTACACAATAATGGCCCACATGTAAATGGGTGAAAAGGAGACAAACTTATCAGTACACATACAACTTTAACACTAAAGAAATAGTGCAGCTCATACCTAAACGTGAACTAAACCCTAACCGAACAACAGTTTGCCAAGCTCTGGTATCAAACAATTGCCATGTTTTTTTCCCTCGATAAAATACCATTTCCCCTTTGTTTCATCCATTTTTGCAACTCAGTGCTGCGGATCTCCTTCAACCTCTTTCAGCCACCTTCTGTGTACATGCACTCACTACAAAAAGTGGACCATGCCTGCACAATGTGTGCTAACGCAGACCCTTGTAGTCGCTAGCACACATAATGGAACCATAGATTGTCTCAACATTTATTGAAACATGGTCACAATTGGTCATATATAGCTGACGTTTCAGGGCCCCTTCACTATGTCGCCCTGAGGAAGGGTCCCTGCGTGGCCCCAAACGTCGGCTATATATGGCAAACTGATAATGATTCAATACAATTTGAGACAGAATCTATGGTTCCATTATGCATGAGCTGGTGACTAGCTGATCTTCACTAGCCAGGGGCGCCACGCCAAGGTGTCATCGCTATGAGTACCTTCAATCTGCAAGGTCATAACGCTGTATGGAGTGCAGGTGACTCATAACACTATTGTGTAGTCTCAATCAGGGGCAGAAGTTGCAAAATGGCAATGCAGGAGCAAAAATGAGAGTCCACCTATAAAACATTGCCTACCCAAGGACCTTCATGGAAGGATCACAAGGTATTATTTTATTGACAGCTGAGGATTTCAAACTATTGGGAAAAAAAACATGTTAAAGCTTACATGAGACTTTAGTGATTGGGTTTCAATCCACAAATATAAAATAGATATCATCCCAATTTGGCTTCAAAAGTGGAAATACACTTTAAGACAGCCCATTTATTTTCAATGGACTGCCCCACACCTCCCAGCGCATCTAAACCTTTTTCTGGCAACATACTGCACAGCAATACTGTACATGGTGGTGGGTAAATCCTAAACAAGTATGCATGCACATATTCACTAAAGCCTGAATGTTTAGATTCTTGCATAAGCCCAGTAACACATACAGTAAGACTGTGCACTTTACAGACTGGTTTATCACATGATTATATAGAGATCATAATGACGAGGACTGTAATAAAACCGTAACATTCAGTCTGGACCAGCCCATGTACGTGCCAATAACTTATATTATAGGTATTGCCACTGGAATGCAAAGTGACAATAGTAACAAGATGGAAGCTACCCCCACCAGAGGTCAGAGACTTCAGCGACTTCAGCGGTGAAAGAACGTAGTGTGCAGCCTTAGTTTGCTGGATGAAAGCCAGTTCACTTCAGAGATGAACTTTGGCCTAATTAAAAAAAGCAGCATCTTGTTTAAAAATAAGGGAGGTGCTGAAATCACTAGATACAACCAACACTTGTGAAAGCAAATTAGCCATGCTTACTGATAACACAGATTATGTACAGAAATTCACAGAAAGCCTGTAGTGCATCACAGAAGCACAGCTCATTTTTCCTGGTTTAGACCTACTCAATGTGACACACTGAGCAAGAGAGACCATACACAAGAATTTAAGTGTTGTTTCCTTACAATATTATACAGGATTTATATAGCGCCAACAGTTTGCGCAGCGCTTTACAATATAAGGAAGACTTTACAATTACAATACAATTTAAGACAAGAAGTTAAGGAGGGCCCTGCCCCTGAGGGCTTACAATCTAAAAGGGAGGGGCAAGTGGTACATGAGGTGGTAGCTGTGTGGGGATGGACTTTTTGAGAACGCGATGGTTCAGCGGTTAGAGGTGAGATAGGCTTCCTTGAATAAATTAGTCTTTAGGGATAGACAGACAAGTTGGGGTAATGCGTTCCAGAGGATGGGAGAGACTCTTTTTGCTTCTTTCTGTGATAACATTTTATATATAAAAAAATAAAATTAAAAAAAAACAAAAACCCCACACACATTACTGAAATTCAAACTCTTCACCCTTTTGTGAAAAACCCTGTATGTTTTCAGGGGGCAGTTTGAGTGATTAAGCTCTGTAAATAGGCTTTTATCAATGACACAGGCAAGACCAGAAAGATAAACATGAAAAGGAGCACAGAGTTCTATCTGCTGGCTGGAAGTGCAATAGTTCCTATTTACCTAACTTGTTTGAAATTTGTATTTCAGAATAAAGAACAAATACATTGCCTTTATGTATTTTTCCATTTAAGGATGCACAGTATCTAGTGCTACGAGTCCGAAGTTGGTGGACACTACGAGGTTTGAGGACAATATGCGTGTAGATCCTTGACCCCCTGATTCAACATTTTATGGACTATGTGGGGGTTTAATGTATGCTCTCCAAGATGGAATCTGATCTACTTTTGTTACTGTATTGTAACTTTGTATCACAAAATAAAAATCTTTTAAAAGTAAAAGATACACAGTATGCATTGGAAGCTCGTTGTTCTGTCCATTACCTGAAAATTTTTTGTGTTCTCTGCAGAAGCATCTTTTTCAACACAAGATTGTAGCTCAGTTTTCTCTGAATTCATTAGTGAACTTTCCACAGACGACTGTGAATTTTGACCCGAAGTAACTAAAAAAAAAAAAAAATGGCATGGACATAAAACACTATTAATAAAACAAAACTCTATCAGATGGAATTGCTAAACATAAAAGCGCACAATAAGTTATTCAGATCAATCAGCAATCTTTTTTTTTTTTTACTGCTCTAAAGAGTGACAAGTAAACTCTGGCTCCAGTGGATCACTTCTCTTTGTAGAGCATGATTTTTTGCTCGGTCTTGTTAAATATCCTAATACACATCACATTTTGTCAGTAGGATGATTGCATTTCATAAAATGTACTTCACTGGTAAGATGCCTCTGCATGCGGTCAAGCACTATGATCCACTTTTTCTGGAACATTTCTAGAGAAGTATTCAGACCTAAAGAATTATTTACCACTCAAGTCTCAAGTGTTGTTTTAGAATAGAGAAGGGACAGTGGCTACCTGTTGCAGCACAATTTTATAACAGCACCAGTACTCAGCAGCACCTCCGGGTCTGGGTGGCTTGTATGGCTGGAAGTGCCAACTGTCAGTGACAACCAGGGTCCATTGCCAACACCTTCAGTAACAGATTACTGCTTGTATGATCTATTGCTGGCTACATCATTAAAAGTATCCTGTTGCTGTAGAGATAAAATGGGGGGCTAGATCAGATTCCCATTGACCCGGATGAATCCCCAGCAGGTATGTTGGGTGACATTTGCAAATGCTGTGTGAGCACAGCTATGAAAAAGTGGCTGATGTGCTTATCAAAGACCTCCCCAACCTTAACTTGATCTCCTCTTAATGTTACGCTAACATATTACACAAACCAATTTTTTCTTCCCCATGTGCCTCTTAACGTACCGCCAGAATACAGCTTCCCTAAAGAGAAACAAATATTAATTTGTGCTTTACTATTCTGCTGTATCCCTATATTATATCCTGGAACTCGAGGGGATTTAGGGAGTAAAAGGCTCAGGGACACAAGTTGTTAAAAAAGGAAAAATAATTCTGGTCTATGGCTATGTAAGGGCTTGTTCACACTAAATGCAGACCAGATCTGCATGAGTTTCTGCACACGCAGTGCAGTGGCTTGTGCTGCGTTTTTGCTGCCTTCAGGGCCATTTTTGTAAAAAAAAAAAAAAAAATTAGTTTTAAATTGGCTTTCAGTGCGTTTGCATGCATTTTTGATGCGTTTGCATGCATTCCAGAGCAGGTAAAATAGGGCTTGCTGCAGTTTTTTTTACATGCTCTGGAACTGAACGCTGCAGTGTGAACTAGAGCCCAACATACCATTGGAATACATTGGACGCAGTTTTGATCCGGTCTGTAACTGCTCTGCACCTGGAACGCGCTTGGTGTGAAGGCCTAAAACATATTCGGTAGCAGCCCAGAAGTTTACAACAAAAATCAACATAGCTACAGTCATAGCCAAACATATTGGCACCCCTGCATTTCTGTCAGATAATGCACCACTTCGCACAGAAAAGTGTTGCAATTACAAATGTTTAGGCGTTCTCATGTTTATTTCTTTTGTTTGTATTGGTATGACACAAGTGGAGGGGAAAACAAAGCCAAATCTGACACATTCCACCCAAAAAATGGACTGGACAAAATTATTGGCAACCTCAATATTTGGTAGCACAACCTTTGGAAAAAAATAATGGCAATCAATCGCTTCCTGTAACCATCAATTAATTTCTTACACCTCTCCACAGAATTTCTGGACCACTCTTCTGTCGCCAGATGCTCCAGGTCTCCGAGATTGGAGGGGTTCCTTCTCCCAACTGCTGTTTTGAGATCTCTCCACAGGTGCTCTATGGGATTCCGATCTAGACTCATTGCTGGCCAGTCCAGTACTGAAACCATGTCTGGGTGCTTTTTGACGTGTGCTTTGGGTCATTGTCCTGCTGTAAGGCCCATAACCTTTGATGGAGACCCAACTTTCTGAAACTGGGCACAACATTGCACCCCAGAATTCTTGGGTAGTCTTTAGATTTCATAATACCATGCACATAGTCAGGACATCCAGTGCCTGAAGCAGCAAAGCAACCCCAAAACATCAGTGAACCTCCACCATGTTTGACTATTTTTTTTTCATTAAAAGGCCTCATTTCTTTTTCTGAAAACAGTAGAATGATGGGCTTTACCAAAAAGCTGTCATTTTGTTTCGTCTGTCCACAGGACATTCTCCCAAAAGGATTTTGGCTTCCTCAGGTAAGTTTTGGCAAACTCCAATCTGACTTTTTTATGTTTCTGTGTCAGCAGTGAGGTCCTCCTGGGTATCCTACCATAGCATCCCTTTTCATTTAGATGGTGACGTATAGTGCAAGCTGATACAGCTGTACCCTGTGTGCCTGAAGGTCAGCAGGAATTTGTCTGGAAGTCGATTGAGGGTTTTTGTCCACCATTCGAACAATCCTTCCTTGCAATCTTTGATCAATTGTTCTCTTTCGTCCACATCCAGGGAGATTAGCTGCAGTGCCACAGGCTGTAAACTTCTTGACATTGTTGCGAACAGTGCACACAGGAACATTAAGATCTAAGGAAATGGACTTATAACCTTGAGATTGCGCTTTTCCACAAAAACTTGGAGTGAAATTATTTCTTGCAATTTGGAGAAGGTGCCAATAATTTTGTCCAGTCCATTTTTTGAGTTTTGGGTGGAATGTGTCAGATTTGGCTTTTTTTTCTCTCCACTTTTTTGTCTCATACCAATACAAACAAAAGAAAAACACGAGAATGCCTAAACATTTGTAATTGCAACAATTTTCTGCGCGAAGTGGTGTATTACCTGACAGAAATGCAGGGGTGCCAATAGTTTTGACCATGACTGTATGTTACTATATATCTCAATTAGTGTATTGCTCGTGATCAAAGTGGATCTCAAAACTATTATCTTTTCCTTGGTTACAGCTCAAAATCAATTTGAGGAAAACAACCTCAGAATTATGGTAATCTAATACATATTCTCATGTATATCCTCAGCTGTTAGAAGTACTTCTATAACTGTGGTGGATACCATTTGTGTACAGGCTGGGCCTTTTGCTTCGATACAGCTGGCCTGAAAATCCCAAAGCTTTTAGCTCAAAGGATTTGAATTACAGTTGCATTAGGGTGAATGACGCAGAGAAGCGGTAGTCAATTTTCTGCATTCATTGTGATGAAAGAGCTTTACGATTGCAAACAACTGCAATAACACCCAGATATTAATGACATTTTCATACAACGCAATTTCCATAAATGTGGATTAAGCTGCAGTAAGGTGCGAAACAGTTCAGAGGCGAGGGACAGGTGGAGTCTCCAACACTTATCCAGTTAAGTTTTGTATGAGAGATTGGAAGCCGCGTGCAGCTTTACATCTCTTCATTTGGAGCTTTTTTTTTATTACATTATTCACAGATAATGAAGATTACAATAGCAGTCATTTAGAACCAAGGTAGTATAACAAACATCCTTTCCAAATACATATTACAATTCCTGCTCTTTAACCTCATAGAAGAAAACAACAAAAGGCCATTTTATTTTCACTGTGTCTACACTGGCAGTTCACAGTATTAGGTGGCATTGCAAACTTACAACAATTGCAGATAATTCAAACTGTCCAGGTATGGATAATTTACATGCAAATATTAACAATACATCTACAATGTATCAAAATACACAATAGTCAGGTCTTCCAACTGAAACCTAGACTTCAGTAACACCACAAAGGATTTTACGTAGTATCACCTTCAGAATCTTGGTGCTCACTGGCATTAGAATTAGCCTCCTCAGACTTCAACTCAGTGCTGTCTGCCTGGGTGTTAAGGTTTTCTGGGGCAGGGCTGCAAGTGCTGCTGTTCTCCTGTTTCACAGGCGATGCATCCGCTATAGAACTCTGGTTGCTATTATCATCTGAAACGAAAGAAACTATTATTAGGTAATTAAGAAGTGGTAGGGCACAGGTTGTGGACATCATTACTATCAAGAAGAGGTCAGGAGGAATCTGACAGCTCCCACCCCCATCGGTGGAATTCCAGAGGTGCTATGCCCTGACCACTATCAGCCTAATTTTCAATAAAGTTCTCTTAGTTGCTAGGATAATGAGTGAGTTGTAAGTAGAGCTGCAGCTAACGATTATTTTCAAAATCGATTAGTTAGCCGATTATTAGGTTCGATTAATCGGTTAATCGGATAAACAATAAAATAAAGTTTAAAAATGGCTCCAGTGATGGGACTACTAGTTTGTATTGAGGTTGTAGTCCATCACAGGAGCAAGCTTGAGCGGTGGAAGTAAAAAAGAAAAAAAGATAGTGTGGTGTGCAATATAGTGAAATGGAAAGTGTAAAATTATACAGCAATGCATGCAGAATGGCACTGGCTATAGAGGACTACAAAAGCACATTATACAGCGCAATGCAGAATACCGCCAGCTATATTCAGAGGAATACAACACATCCTAGCAATAGTACAATATAGCTGGCGGTATTCTGCATTGCGCTGCATAATGTACTATTGCTAGGTTTTGTAGTCCTGTATAGCTGGTGGTATTTAGCATTATACCACTTTATAACGTACTATTGCTGGGATTTGTTGTAGTCCTCTATAGCTGGTGGTATTCCGCATTGCGCTGTATAATGTACTATTGCTAGGTTTTGTAGTCCTGTATAGCTGGTGGTATTTAGCATTGTAACACTTTATAATGTATTATTGCTGGGATTTGTTGTACTCCTCTATAGCTGGTGGTATTCCGCATTGCACTGTATAATGTATTATTGCTGTGACTTGTAGTCCTCTGTACAGCGCAATACAGAATATCACCAGCTATAGAGGAGTACAACAAATCCCAGCAATACATTATACATACAGTGTATAATGTATTTGTGGGATTTGTATTCCTATGTATAATATACAGCACAATGTACCATCAGCTATAGAGAAATACAAATCCCAGCAACACCTGCTCCTCCTTACTACATCTCCCCGCGTCCCTTGCCGATCGTGGATGTGGATGGGCAGGAAATGTGACGCGGGGAGGAGGTGCGGCGTGTGGCGCGTGAATGCGAGCGGGTCTGGCAGCGGCGAGCGCGAGGTGGGGAGGAGGTGCGGCGCACAGCGTGCGGAGCTGTGAACAGGGCCAACTGATCGGAAGCCGATTAATCGATTATTGAAAAAGTTGACAACTTTTTCAATAATCGATTATGTCGATTAGTTGTTGCAGCCCTAGTTGTAAGTGTGGTAGGGACATAGATCAGGGGCTGTACCAAGCGCTGCCTACAGAACTCGACAATGGTTACATAAATAGCACAAGATGTCATATTCAATGCCCTGTCTATCCAATTTGTCTGACCCACCCTCATCTCTACTCTACTCCCCCATTGTAGAGCAGGGGATGCATTACTCAGAGTGAGAGGGGGAGGGGAAATATTTATCTATATGAAGCCATTTCCTTCACACACACACCTCTGTCAATATCTGCAGAGCTTTACCAATCAGCTATATGTGTTCAGGGAGCGTAATGGGAGGGAGTAGAGGTCACTATTAGTCAACTCACCCCAAAACAGGTACATCACTCAATTTTAAAATGTCCTTGATCTACCCCGCTTTCCAGGTAACCATATCATGTTTGGATTCCAAAGCCATGACAAATTGCGAATTAGTATCTTAGCAAAAATAGCATCTGACAATTGGGGACTGACAGTATAAACATTTGAGCATTAGTGTACAAGAATATGTGGAATACTTGTGTAGTAATACATCTTCTATGGTAAACAGAACACCTATCATGAGACAGGACAACATATACTGCACTAGTGTATGACACGGTCGATGCTCACCCTGCATATCCATCATGCCAGGAGAGGAACTGTTTTCTGGGGTGGTCAGTTCTGAGCCACATTTCTCATCTTTTGTTTTCTTCTTGTTTTTGGTCTTCTGCAAATAAAAAAAAACAAAAACATAAATTTGGCTACTGAATTCTTCATGCAGAGAAATAGCCAATATCCACAACATAGACCACAATGAGAAAACTGCAGATAGATCTGTTAAGAGAAAAGATGGAAGGAAAGTCACACAAGTTAGACATTGGAAATACACAGCTGCATCCCGGCAGTAGCAGCTCTGCACGGCTAAATGGTACAAAAACCTGGGTCAGCCTACATCAGTCATTCATAGCTATGGCATATGGAAATTACTACTACTTTATTTAATCCAACAGTTCCAACTCTTCTCATTTCCAACTGCAGCCTTGAATAATTACCTAAAGCTAACCCAATTATTAGTTTGGCAGTGCTGGTTGGATTTAATCTTGCTAGCAGAATTACCTCATGATGCAACATAACTGCAAGGTTTTATTACAGTAGAAAGGAAAAATATGCAACAGATAGAACTGTAAAAAGGAGATTTGTAGACTAGGGAAAGGCTAAAACACAAGTCCTGTGGTTACTTTACAACACACACAGTGACCATGGGGAACAAAAGTAGTCACCCCCCCCCAGAAGGAAGGACAGTGTCAGCATGAATTCAGAGATGATTTGATGATCTACAGCTGAGTTATACACAAATAACATACATTGTTATTAGTTAAGGTATTTTTAAGATTTAACTCCTGAGTTTAGCGTCACTTTAAAAAGCAAGTTGTGTTTTTGCCAGGATGGGAAAATCAACAGGTTGATTTAACTGCCCTGAGTAGTCAATCAGCTGGCACGAGGGGTTGCGATTCAGGTGCTCCCCATATTCTATAGCAGTGATCCTAGTGATGCATTCCTGAGGGCACAACAAAAGTTGAGTATGTGCAGCTTGGGAGGATGACAATTTAAAAGGAGAACTATGAGGCGAGTGATTTTCACTCAGCCTCATAATCTGAGCCGACCTGTGACAATGAAACGGTCACAGGTCAGCTCAGTAGATTGGGAAGTGCGCGAACACATACCGTCGCTCGCTCACTTCTCGATTTATCCCTGCAGAGAGCCGTGACTGTCACTGTAATAAAGCCTTGCAGTCACATGGCTCCCTGCAGGGATTCCCTCCCTCCCCTCTCCGATCCTCCAGCGCTGACTGGCGAAACGGACGGGGGAGGGCACAGCTGTCTCTGCCTCTGTATAGGCAGAGCCAGCTGTCAATCCCGCAGCTGGGTGGATCCAGACAGTATTGTCGCGTTCCGTCCCGGCTGCAGCATCTCAGTATACCGCGAGCTGTGGCTCGTGGTATACTGAGCTTTGGGTCACGGGAGAATCCTAGTTTGTGTCCTCCCGTGACCCTAAGGAGCACTATGGGGAAAAACACTGACCCCATAGTTCTCCTTTAAATAAAACTATTTATCTGCCCTTCCTGGGCAAAAGCACAAGTTCACCTTAGAAATAGGGCATCTGTCAGTTTTTATTGGGCCCTTATCCACATTACAGTCATGGTGGTCACGAAGGACAAATCTTTCTAAGGGGCACATACTTATACAGCACAGACAGGTTACAGCTGCTTTCAAGATTTTATTGCAGTCTACACTCCAGTTAGGGAAGGGGACTGAAAAAAGAAAAAAAAAATAGAAATGTTTTCTTTCTCAGGTGAAGCTATATGCCCTTTACAAATGATTACTGGGACGTGCTTGTTTTCAGGGCTGAATAGCTCAAACTCAAATTTCAAACAGACCCCCTCTATCCCTTCGTACAGATTTCAATTACAGGGGATATAAAACTACTTAAAGAAATAAGCTATGAGCTGTCAGGGCTTTTGAGGTCTAGTTCACACAGCGATTGATGCAGGTTTTTTTGCTAAAAATGGGATTTCAAGGGTTTTCCAGTGTGTTTGCATCCGTCTGCATGCGTTTTTATGCATTCCGTTGCATCTAAAATAGGACAAGCAGTATTTTTTTCTGACTGCATCGGAGCAGACTGCACTGGTGTGAACAGAGAACCAGAAATCCCATAGGAAAGCATTCTGATGTATTTTGGCTGAACAGTCTGCATCACAACTGCATCTGGTGTGTACTAGCCCTTAATATGTTCTGCCAACCAGTATGAAATCTTATCTGTAAAATAAAGATTTTATATTAAAAAAAATGTATTAAAGTTTAAAATGCTAAAAACATTAAAAACTAACCCAATGCCACTATTGTTTCTCTAAGAATGCCTGCAGGAATAACCTGTTGTAGAATTGCACATTACACCTTACCTGATATATTTATATGATATATAGATCTCATCATTAATCTGCTTGAACCATTTTTATTTTTTTTCACTTTAGTTATTTTTGTTACTTACAGCTTTGAAAGTATGTACTATCTGTACCTGTTCCATGTATTCTGAATTTCACTCGCAAATTGCAAGCACTCGTTGGTCAACGTGGTCAGCTGACGGCACTGACCAATGAGAAGCGCTTCTTAGCAATGCTAAATACGGTTTTGGTTAAAAACATTTTTTTTGGTATCAGGACAAGTAGATTGTCATGAGGGACAAGTAGATTCGGGCCCCGCGTGAATCCATGGAAAAGTAGTTTTTTCAAAAATGTCCACACCCCTGTAGTCACCATAGAGACTGAACCTATAGCCTAAGGGAATGTTGAGAACGTAAGCGTTACTTAGCTGGCCTGCGGCATGCAGTTCTCCTTCAGCGTAACCCTTACATCCATTGCAGAAAGGGGTTAATGCAGACCTGTACCCTAAAACAAAGACCTTCATTGCAATATTATGGTTAAATATGGCCTGAGGGACACAGAAGAATAAAAACAAAAACATTCTCCAATCCATCATATGCTCAACATGAAGAAAGCAGTCACAAGTCTCTACAAATGGGAGGATTATTGTTCAGACACAGCCACTGACTAGCCTGGTCTCCCTAAACCGCTTTTCAAGCCCTTCAGTAGAGAATCTGTGATTATTTGATCAGGATTGATGTTCTAGTTCAACTGCAGCCATTCTTTTAAATTTTAGACAGAGTGGGGAATGTTTAAAACAGGGGTAGGCAAACTCCGGCCCTCCAGCTCAGGCAGAACTACAAATCCCATTAGGCATGGCAAGACTGACCGCCACATGCATGGCTCCCAAAGGCAGATGCCTGGTGGGATTTGTAGTTTCACACAGCAGGGGGCGCCAGAGTTTGCCCACCTTAGTTTAAAACATTAAAAAGGTTTTTAAATTGCTGTCTGTATGCCAGATTTCTCATTTTATATGCCCCGGTCTCTGGGACAAAAGCAAGAGGACATCTGCAATAGAGACAGCAGCAGCAGCAGGAAAAAAAAAAAAAAAATATAAAAAAACTAGGGTTGCACAGATACCAAGTACGAGTACAAGTACAGATACTTTTGAGCTCCAAGACTACACTAGAGAAAAATTCAAAAATTAGGAGGCAGCTGTCATTTGTAAGGAGCACACTGAGCACCTAGGATTTGTACATCTGTTTTAATGTACGATTTTGTTTTTATAAATAAAGTGATCCACAGATACCAGTTTTACGAGTACTGGTACTTGCCGAGTACTGATACATTTTTGTTTATTGTCATGTGACAGTTTTTCCTAAATCAATACAGACTAATGATTTCAGGACAGTGGTGGAGCGCCAGAGCCAGGTCCCAGCTGCAACCGCTGCAACCCTGGTAGTTCTCATGAAAATGCCAAGTATCTGTGCATCCCTAAAAAAAAACAAACACCTTGGTACATATATACAGCACACGAACAGGAGAGGTTTATTATGAGGTGCCTGAACAGCAACCTTCAAAACCTTCCTGCTACAGTGCAGTATGCAGGGCTTGAAAACGTTTAGGGTGTCTCACCAGTCAGTCAAAACTGTCACCAGTCAGCATGACCAGACCATAGCCCTGCAAATTATGTTAACATTTTTTGGGGACAGATGGAGCTTTCTTTTGGAGGTATATAAGCACCACGGGGGGTATTTTTTTAAACTATATATGAAAAAGTAATGTAAATTTAAAAAAAAAAGTTTCCCCTATGTTGTTATAAAACATTTATTCTTACCCATATTTTTGGTAAAATATAAAAGACGGGGTCACGTCGGGTAAATACTAGAAACAGGATGTCTTGCTGCACTCCTTACCGGGTGCTTGTAGTGACCACGGAAGGCACCGTGTAAATCACAGAAAAGAAGAATAATGTCACCAGCACACCGTTTTTGTATAGGGGTTAATGCAGACCTGTACCCTAAAACAAAGACCTTCATTGCAATATTATGGTTAAATATGGCCTGAGGGACACAGAAGAATAAAAACAAAAACATTCTCCAATCCATCATATGCTCAACATGAAGAAAGCAGTCACAAGTCTCTACAAATGGGAGGATTATTGTTCAGACACAGCCACTGACTAGCCTGGTCTCCCTAAACCGCTTTTCAAGCCCTTCAGTAGAGAATCTGTGATTATTTGATCAGGATTGATGTTCTAGTTCAACTGCAGCCATTCTTTTAAATTTTAGACAGAGTGGGGAATGTTTAAAACAGGGGTAGGCAAACTCCGGCCCTCCAGCTCAGGCAGAACTACAAATCCCATTAGGCATGGCAAGACTGACCGCCACATGCATGGCTCCCAAAGGCAGATGCCTGGTGGGATTTGTAGTTTCACACAGCAGGGGGCGCCAGAGTTTGCCCACCTTAGTTTAAAACATTAAAAAGGTTTTTAAATTGCTGTCTGTATGCCAGATTTCTCATTTTATATGCCCCGGTCTCTGGGACAAAAGCAAGAGGACATCTGCAATAGAGACAGCAGCAGCAGCAGGAAAAAAAAAAAAAAAAATCAGCAGCAGGAAAAAAAAAAAAAAAATATCAAAAAACTAGGGTTGCACAGATACCAAGTACGAGTACAAGTACAGATACTTTTGAGCTCCAAGACTACACTAGAGAAAAATTCAAAAATTAGGAGGCAGCTGTCATTTGTAAGGAGCACACTGAGCACCTAGGATTTGTACATCTGTTTTAATGTACGATTTTGTTTTTATAAATAAAGTGATCCACAGATACCAGTTTTACGAGTACTGGTACTTGCCGAGTACTGATACATTTTTGTTTATTGTCATGTGACAGTTTTTCCTAAATCAATACAGACTAATGATTTCAGGACAGTGGTGGAGCGCCAGAGCCAGGTCCCAGCTGCAACCGCTGCAACCCTGGTAGTTCTCATGAAAATGCCAAGTATCTGTGCATCCCTAAAAAAAAACAAACACCTTGGTACATATATACAGCACACGAACAGGAGAGGTTTATTATGAGGTGCCTGAACAGCAACCTTCAAAACCTTCCTGCTACAGTGCAGTATGCAGGGCTTGAAAACGTTTAGGGTGTCTCACCAGTCAGTCAAAACTGTCACCAGTCAGCATGACCAGACCATAGCCCTGCAAATTATGTTAACATTTTTTGGGGACAGATGGAGCTTTCTTTTGGAGGTATATAAGCACCACGGGGCGGGGGGGGGGGTTATTTTCTACTATCCGATGGAAAAAGTA